CTTCTGTCCAGTGCTTACTTTACAGTGTTAGTCCCAAAGAGTGACACCTGCCAGAGACGGGCCAGAGTCCAGGGCCACCCGGCCCCGTTGTAGGGACCTTTTGTCTCTCTGTACTTGCATTGCACATTTGCATCCGTCAGAGTCACAATTTACATTTATGCACAAAGCAATACGGAGACCAGAAAGCACACAGAACCACTGGGAAGTGGGAACAAGCAGGACAGTTCCCTAGCAGCTGGGGAGAGACTTTGAGCTGGGTCCTCCGGTTCATCTCTGAGGGTCACCGACAACCTGGGCGACGGGGAGACGTGCTGCCCCAACCCCCAGCCCCCGCCCCCGGAGTAACTGGCCTTCCATTCCCATGCAGTCGCCCCATATTCGGCAATCGACACGTGGCCAGGGCGGCGGAGCGGGGGCATGATCGTCATCACATCCATTCTGGGGTCCCTGCCCTTCTTCCTGCTCCTCGGGTTCGCAGGCGCCATCATCCTCAGCTTCGTGTGAGTTCTGGGAGTGGGAGGGGGCGTGGACTCGAGAGGCTCCACCCCTGGGGACTTCTGAGGCAGAAGTGGGCGGAGCTCGGGGACAGGAGTGGAGGCAGGTGTCCGAAGGGGAACGGAGTCTTAGGGTTTCAGAGTTGGAGGGCCTTCCAGGTCAAGTCGTCTGCTTCAAGGTCAAAGGCTCAGCAGAGGTATGTAGGCAGACCTCGTGATTCAGGTTCCAGCTCTGTGATATACCAGCTGTGTAACCTTGGACAAGTATCTTATTCTCCCTGCGTCCCAGGTACCTCCTCTGGAAAATGGGATAATAATAAACATTGTGAAGTTGTGAAGAGCAAACATATGTATCCCTCTAAAGCTCTGGTAGCGTAGTGGTTATGAATCGGGCTGTGAACCTCAAGGTCAGCAGTTCGAAACTACTAGCTCTTCCGTGGGAGAAAGAGGAGGCTTTCTGCTCCCGTAAAGATTTACGGCCTCGGAAACCCTGTGCAGGGTCGCTATGAGTCGGAACCGACTCCACGGCACTTAACAACAAAGCTCCATAGAATAAGCGCTGGACTGCTAATTGCAGTTCAAACCCACCAGCCACTCCTCAAAAATTCTATACAGGCGACTATGAGTCGGAACCGACTGGGTAGCACTTAACAATAACAACCAGGTGCCCTGAGAATGGATACATATGAGTTACAGAGGAGAATATTGAAAGTAGCATGAATTGCCAGAAAAACAAACAAATCTGTGTTGAAACCTGAATGCTACTTAGAAACTAGCATGGCAAGCGAGACTTCATCTCTCATATTTCAGACATATTACTATCAGGAGGGACCAGTCCCTGGGGAAGAACAGCATGCTGGGTAAAGTAGATGATCGTTGAAAATGAGGAGGGTCTCAATAAGATGGATTGGCACAGTGGCAGCAGCAGTGTGCTTAAGCGTTGCAATGATTGTGAGGTTGGCCCAGGACCGGGTAGTTTTTCATTCTGTTATGCGTCAGGTCGCTGTGAGTTGGAACCAACTCCATGGCACTGCCCTGGTGGCGCTGTATGATAAGCACCTCAGGAGGATGATGTGGCTGTCTGCTCCCATTACAATTCAGTGTTGGAAACCCTGTGAGCAGTTGTATTCTGTCCTATGGGGTCACTGGAAGTTGGGATCCATTTGTTGGCAGTGGGTTTGGTTTGGGAGCCTGTGGTGCCGAGGTTAAGTGCTCAGAAATCACTCCATGGGGAAAGGATGAAACTGTCTGCTTCTGTAAAGGAAATACCATGGGGCAGTTCTCTGTCCTCCATGATTGCTGAGTCCGGGTCAACCTCACAGCTGTTAGTTTGTTTTTGGTTTCCGGTGCCTGGGAATCCACCGGAGGGCAGGGTGGACTCTGGCTGGACTTCCTAGAGGAAAGGTCAGCAGGTTCACTCACTCAGCAGAGCAGAGATGAATCTCAGTGAGCAGGGAAGATCCAGGCGGCTTGGAGGATCAAGAGGGGGTCTGCCCTGGCTGGGGTGGGGCACAAACAAGGAAGCTTCTTGGAGCAAGAGAAAGTAAGTAACTAAGTCCCACCTGACAGACAAAGAACTGTCTGTGGAGTGGGCAGGAGGTTGGAGTCTGAGCCCTCAGACACTGAAGTTAACTGAAACACAAATACTAGCTGTGATTAGCTGCCAAGAGATTCGTCTGTCTATCTGGATCTGGGATCAGCGAGGACAGCTGCCATTGAGTCAATTCCTACTCAGGGAGACCTTATGTGTGTCAGAGTAGAACTGTGCTTTGTAGGTTTTTCAGTGGTTGATTTAGATGTAGACTGCCAGGACTTTTTTAGGCAGCACCTCTAGATGGATTCGAACCTCTAACCATTTGGTTAGCAGCCAAGCACCACTCAGGGACTTCAATCTGGCATTGAAATCTCCTGCTATCTGAACTTTGCCTAGCTCTGCAGTTTATCTCCCCACCTCACCCCATCCCAGCACCAACTGGACTCGACTTGGCTTCCCATGTTCCCCCCTCACTGCTTCCAGATTCACCATCTCTCTGCCCCCTGCTCCCCTTATCCTTTACCCACTGCCATCCGTGGAATCTGACTCCTCACAATCCTATAGGACAGAGTAGAACTAGACTCTAATCATTACAGTCTTACACCGCATCTTTCTCCTGCAGAGCCACTGGTGGGCTGATCTTTGGGTTAGTGGTGGTGGTTATGTGCCATGGAGTCGGTTCCGACTCATAGCAACCCTGTACAGGATTTCCGAGGCTGTAAATCTTTATGGGAGCAGAAAGCCTCATCTTTCTCCCATGGAGCAGCTGGTAGTTTCGAACTGCTGACCTTAATGTTCACAGCCCGATTCATAACCACTAAGCTACCGGTAGTCAGGGGCTTTATCCACTACGCCACCAGGGCTCCTTTTCCACCAGTATATTGTTTGCTGTCCATCGATCAGTTCTGATTCACATAAACTTCATGTCAACTGTTCTATAGGGTTAGGATTTACAGCACATGTTTGGGTGGGGGCACAGTTAAAATTATAACGCCTCTGTACAATCTCGGCTTTTTGGGGACCACCCTGTTGCTTCCCTTTTCCCCAGGTCCTGGCACAGGAAGACCAGTTGATAGGATGCTCAAGGCATTCTATGAAAGCAGTGTCTAAGTGTGAAGTCCCAACCCTCTGCAGTGGAAGGAAGGATTTGGTTTTCTCAGCTCCCCTAACTCTGGCTCTCTTCATCCCTTGACCAGGGATATGGGAAGTTCGGATGGAGAGACCACCCATGACTCACAGATCATGCAGGAGGCTGTCCCCAAGTCCCTGGAGACTTCGTACACATCTGTGAACCGGGGGCCAGCCTTGGACAGGGCCGAAGTGTATTCCAGCAAGCTCCAGAACTGAGTTGAAACCCATACCTGGAACCAGCGTCTCGGCTGTTCGTGCCGTCACCTGACCGGAAGTGAAACAGTGTGAGTCGTTTGACTGCAGGAAAATGTTTAATAAAATCTTCTCAAGGTTTCGAGTTCAATAAAGACTTACAGAATGAAAGTGTGAGATGAAGGAATGGGTGACAGAGATGATGCCTTGCAGGGGGTTTGGATTATTTCCCTGGAGGGTGGAGTTGTCAGCTGTCTTTAAGTCAAAATCCTGCCCTGTCCTGCGCCATCTCCATGACCAAGTTCAGATCAGACCATGTGACCCGTAAGGTTTCCATTGACTGATTATTGGAAGTCGATCACCAGGCCTTTCTTCCTACTCTGTTTTAGTCTGGAGGCTTTGCTGAAACCTGTTTGTTTAGCATCAGAGCAACACGGAAACCTCCATTGACAGTTGGGGGGTGGCTGCACATGGGGGCCACTGGCCGGGAATGAAACCCAGTTCTCCTGAGTGGAAGGCAAGAATTCTTTCATTGAACCCCCAATGCCCTGGGTTGGGGCATGAGGGTCAGGGTTGTGCTGGAGACTTGTCTGGTGGCCTCCAAGGGTCACCTCTTCCTCTCTGACACTCAGTTTCCTCAGCTACAAAATGAGCTGGTGATAATGGTCAGTTTCCAAGGCTGGGTTCCTTCATGGTTGTCTCTGAGGACCCCTTGCACCAGACTGTCTGCAGGGAAACGATACAGACAAGAGCTGGTTTCCCAGTCTCAAAGGGTTCCTGAACCAACAGTAAGACAAGGGATGTAAGGGCAGAAAACACACAGTGAGATGAATGCTGCTTATGTGGCTGTGGTGAAAGCCCCATGTTTATTCTGTGGATCTGGGCACCCCCGGTTTCTCTCTGAGACCCCTCCCCCCAGAGATGTCCTTCCTCCAGTTGTGACAGAAGGATTTATAAGTGACTGGTGTTCCCTCTGCTAGAAGCTGCGGCTCCATTGTAGTTGGGGAGTGGCTACCTCTTGGTTGGGGTCCCACCCTCTTCCCACTGGCTGGATTCATCAATGCCCACCCAATAACCTGCTGCCCTTTCAGCTGATTCTGACTTAGGACAGATAGAACTGTCCCATAGGGTTTCTCAGAAGAATTGATGCATTTGAGTTATGGTGTTGGAGGAGAATAAGTGCCATGGACGGCCAGAAGAACAAACAAATCTGTGTTGGAAGAAAAATAGCATGGCTAGACCTTGTCTCTCATACTTTGGACACATTATCAGAAGGGCACATTATCTCTGTGGAGAAGGACGTCATGCTTGGTAAAGTGGAGGAGGGTCAGTGAAAAAGAGGAAGATACCAACGAGATGGATGGGCACAGTGGCAGCTGCAATGGGTTTAAGTGTAAAGACAATTGTGAGTACAGTGTTTTATTCTGTTGTGCCTAAGGTCACGATGCGTCGGTACAACAACAGTCTTCCCGGGAACACACGGACTCATTTTTCTCCTGAAGAGCAACTGTGGATTTGAACCGTTGACCTTTTATTTTTATCTTTATTATTTATCTTTTTTTGGGGGTGGTGGTGGTGGTGGTGTAGGGATGTACACAAAAACACTCAGGAATATATAATCATTTAAACAACTAAAGAGCACTTCTGCAAGTTTGCCTCCTGGCTGCCAGCCAACAGTCTTTCACTTCCCGTGAGTCTAGAGTCCTCAGCTGCTCTCTCTCTCCATGTCCTCATCTCTACCTCCATCTCTGGTATCGCTGTTTCTCTGGATAGGGTCCCACATTCTGCTTGTGCTCTTCTCCCTTGATGGTCTATAACATTAACTGCTCCCCCATTTTTGTTACAAAATTTCTACCATTACAGTTGTGACAATCACAATTAGTCATGATACTCACTATTGAATCATAAGAATCTTATCCCCATCTCCTTTCACCAGACCCATTGAACTAACCTTTTGGTCAACATAAGCACCATGCCACCGGGACTCCCCCTAGAAAACCGGAATTCCCAGCTAAGGCACCACCTTAGCTGTACCTCATGAGGCAAAAGCTAAGGGACTGACCTGACTGGCCACAGACAAGCAAACATGTTAGGGGGTCTCAAGTGAGTGAACAAACACCCACCCCATGGGCGGCAGGACGAGGCTTTCTTGGTGATGCACCCTAAAGTTCCCTAGAGTATTAGTCTCACTGCTAACTGCAAGGTCAGTGGTTCAAACCCACCAGCTACTCCTTGAGAGAAAGATGAGGCTATCTGCTCCCTTAGAGATTTACAGATCTGGAGATCCTATACAAGGTCGCTGTGAGTCGGTTTTGGTTTGGGCACTCCAGTGAGGCTCTGCTGGGATTGGTATCTAGTCTGGTGGCTGAAACAGGGTTTTGGGGATTGAATTCACTGAGCTGAGAGCCTTTAGAAACTACTTCCCTCCTGGAATCTCATTGGTTCCCAAGTTCTCCAGCGATGCTGCTGTACAGAGACAGCACAAGGGGATGGGTTTAAAGAACAGACATTTGTTCCCTCACAGTTTAGAGGTTACAAGTCCGTCTGGTCTCTTTCAGCTTTGCCTCCTGGATTCCTTGGCAGTCTTCAGGATGGTCACATGGCTTCTTTCTGTGTGGGTTTCCTTCTGTGATATCACTCAGTAAAGAGCTCTGGTAGCGTAGAGGTTACAAATCGGGCTGCGAACCCCAGGTCGGCAGTTCGAAACTACCAGCGGTTCGGCGGGAGAAAGATGAGGCTTTCTGCTCCCGTAAAGATTTACAGCCTTGGAAACCCTGTACAGGGTCGCTATGAGTCAGAACCGACTCCACAGCAGATAACCACCAGAAGGGATTAGAGACTTTATACTGCTAATGGTTTCATTAAAATAACAAAACCCTAGTCCCAAATGGGATTATACCACAGATATAGGGACTGGGACGTCAACACATAGTGTAGTTGTTTTGGGGGGTCAATTTTGACCCACAGTGGGAAAAAGTTTGCTTTCATAAAGATAATGTTGTCTTAGTGCCTTCAAGTGAGTTCTGACTCTTAGCGACCCAGTATAGGGTTTCCAAGGAGCGGCTGGTGCATTTGAACCACCAACCTTATAGTTCAACTTGACCTTGTGGTCACCACACCAGGACTGTGCCACAAAGATGTGCAGCATTGGAAACCCCATAGGGCAGTTCCTCTCCGTTCCATGAGGTCCCTGTGAGTTAGAATTAATCCACCGCAGCGGGTTTGGTTGTTTGGGGTTGGAATCGTTATGGGAAAGGGTCCTGGTTAAAGTGCTTGGGTGAGAACCAAAAGGTTGGTGGTTTGAACCCCTCAGGTCCTCTGCAAGAGAAAGATGAGGCAGTTTGCTTCCATAAAGAGTGCTGTTGTTAAATGCGGTCGAGTTGGTTCTGACTCATAATGACCCTGTATAGGGTTTCTGAGCAGCGGCTGGTGGGTTTGAACTGCTGACCTTGTGGTTCACAGTTCAGTGCTGATCCTACAACACCACACAAGGAGTATTGGAGATCCTATAGGGCAGTTCTGATTTGTCCTATAGGGTCTTGACTTGAAGACAATGGGTTTTGATGATCTTTAAAGGAGCAGATCGCTAGATCTGTCTCCCAGAGTGTTTGGTGGGTTTGAATCAGACGGATTTGGGGTTAGCAGCTGGGTTCTTAGCAGTTGGGCTCCTTCTTACACATACGGTGGGGGAGAGAATCAAATCCACAGCACCAGGACATGGATGGTACCCACCCATCATTTGGTTGTGAAGACGGAAAGGAGAGAGCTTGTCCTGTTCACACGCAGCTCCTCCCTCCACCCTCGCCCACTGACTGCACTGTAGCCTTTTAGAAGTATCTAGAACCAGCTCCTGGAAGGCAGGTAAAGACCACACTCGTTCTGGGACCCCCACCCAGCAGAGGAAAAGGATAGGTAGAATTTTGGCAACAGTGATCATTCAAGAGATCTTAGCAAAACACCTCTGGAAACTGATCAAAAGCAAAAAGGTCAGTTTGTGTGCCTGACCCAAGCCAGGGTATTTCCAGTCACCTCATATGCATGCAGTCCTGGTGTGGCGTTGTGGGTTAATGCTCCAGACTGCAAAGCTGTTTAAACTGCAAGGTCGGAGGTTCAAGGAAACCCTATACAGGGTTGTTATGGGTCAGAATCGACTCGACAGCACTTAACAACAACATATGCATGAGAAAGTTGTTGTTGTTGTTGTTGTTATGTGCTGTGGAGTCGGTTTCAACTCATAGCGACCTTGCATCGTGTTTCCGAGGCTGTAAATCTTTACAGGAACAGAAAGCCTCATCTTTCTCCCGCTGAACTGCTGGTAGTTTCAAGCTGCTGACCCTGAGATTAGCAGCCGGATTCGTAACCTCTACGCTACCAAGCTCGTTGCATGAGAAAGTAGGATAATGGATAAGGAAGACCAATGGAGAATCAAGGTGTCCGGTGTTGGCAAAGAATATTGAATATACTGTGAATGGCCCGGAGAATGAACAAATGTGTTTTGAAATTGTCAGAATGCTCCTTAGACATGAAAATAATGAGACTTTCTCTCACTTACTTTGGACATGTTACCAGGAGGGATCAGTCCCGGGCCAAGGATGTTATGCTTGAAAAAGTCAGTACAAAAAAGGAAGTCCCAATGAGACAGATTGACAGAGGCTTGTGAACTCAAGCTTGGCAACAATTGTGAGGATGGCACAGAACTGGACACTGTTTCATTCTGTTGTACACAGGACCCCTGGTAGTTGGACCTGACTCGATGGCAGCTAACAACAACTGGTGGCACAGTGGTTAAGCGCTCAGCTGCTGACAGAAAGATGGTGATTAGAGCCTACCAGCCACTCTCCAGGAGAAAGATGAGGCAGTGTGTTTCTGGGAAGAGGGACAGCCTCGCAAACCATATGGGGCAGCTGTGAGTCTGAATGAACTGGAGTTCAGCAGGTTGGGTTGGCTGATGTGTGCTCTGTATTACATAGACACTCTGCAGTGCAGGGGCAGGGGCCTGCTGGGCATTTTCATGGCCCCAGGAC